AGCGAGGGGCGGGCGCAGCGCCGAGGGTTGCGATCCCATTGCCGGTCCCGGTCCGGTATGAGCGCGACACTGAGGGTTGCGATCCGTTGCCGGTCACGAAAAAAGACAAAAAGGAAAAAAAAAAAAAAAGAATTCACAGTAATTAATTTGTAAAACAGAGATGGTGTCAGCTTATAATGCGGGTATGTTCTCACATCTTAAAATACCAAGGACAAATACGTGAAAGAATTTTTTAGTTATAAATTAGCAATAAAAATAGTCACTTACTCAGGCAGATGTAGGCTTGGAATAATCTCTCTGTCTAGGCAAGTGTTAGAGATAACAAGATCTTCTCTTCTTCTTTACTTAATTGAAGATTTTGTGTTTTAACTGGAAGCTCCAATTTTTTTCCCAGGAATAGAAGGTGAATTAATTGAAGAATATGTAACAATTTCTGTTGTTTCCAAATATCCTCCACAGTTTAGAAAACAATAATGCAACTATCAAGACTGATAAACAACATATACACATTCAACCAATATTATAAAATTCTTCCATTTCTAAATAATACAAAAGAAAAACCACTTTAATAATAATATAATGGGTTGATTTAATGATAGGATAATTTAAATTTGTTATATTACATTTTTTCTTTTCAAGATTGACCTTTAAATAGACGTCAGGGCTACAAACCATATTGATTTTATTTTCTGGCTATGTTGATTACAATGCAACATTATCCAGCTTTTAAGGCCAACGTTAGGTTAATTCCAAATATAAAGAGCTACTCGTCATGCTTGTAAATTATTTTACACATCTGGGAAAATATAAGATTACTAATTATCTTTCTATTCAAAGCAACACAGACAATTGCAGTTTATTGTTTATAAATTAAAATATAGTATTAGGTTAGTCTTAACTTGGTTTTCAGGTTATTCCTGTTGTTAAGTGTTTAATACCCTAACTGTCAGAACATAATTAATGTTTTGTTTTTCCTTTTAATCAAATGAAATTACTAAAACAACAGCTATAGTAAATTACTTGCAGAGCTCCCAGGCCAGTGGTCTATGGACTAAATTTGGCCCATAGCCATGATTTGTTTGGTTATAAAGTACTTTGAAAAAAATTAACTTGTATAAAAATGGGAGATTTCATGTAAAATCCTGGGTTTCAAGCTTCTACTTATGAAACAAACAAACAAAAAAAAAACAAAAAGCAAAACCACAAACTCTCACAATACTAAATTACTGCCTGACCAAAATCAGCTATATACTATATACAAAATCAGCTAAATACTAAACGCCTGACCAAAATCAGCTATATAAATTAGGGCCATCCCCTTTGGATTGGCATGTCATTTCCAATTCATCACAAATCTTACCACTCCCCACTATATCCCAAATACTGAAACTGAGTGTCAGCTGCCATTTTCATGGTATTGTCCTGCTGTTTTTGCTACAGTAAAAATCTGTTTCTCAGTACTTATATCTCTGTGTTAAGTGGGGGAAAAAAATAGACTGAGAGGGCCATACATTTCAAGAGAAAGGTCAGTATACATATACTTTTTCCTACATGTCTGATAATTAAATATTTTCGGGCTCTCTGATATTCCTGGCTCCTAAAGGTATCTGAGTTTGCTATCTCAAACTTATTGGCCAAAAATAAATCAAATTAACATCTTTACTAAAGATTTAAGATCATAAATATCCTCTGATCAATAACTCCACACTTTCTCAATACCCATTTTTGCTTTGGGCACTGAACCAGGTGTTAGAAAAGATACAGAAAAAAGAGTGGGCCTTAAGCAGTCATACCGTAAGTAAGAAAGCAAGGACAGCCACATATGAAAAGAGTGAAGGAAAATTTTATCAAGTCCCCAATTGGAATAAATAGATATATTATCAATAAGTCTGAAAGTAGAAAAAAGACTCATCTCCAAGGGTATCAAAACAGAACATTCATTCATTCATTCAACAAATATTTATTGAGACCTATTTTGTGCTAGGTACTGTTCCAGGTACCAGGGATATAGAGGTAATAAGACAGGCAAACATGAAAGGTGCGCCACCGGGCTGGCCCAGGGATCTTAACCCTTGACTTGGTGTTGTCAGCACCACGCTCAGCCAGTGAGCGAACCGGCCATCCCTACATGGGATCGGAACCCGGGGCCTTGGTGTTATCAGCACCGCACTTTCCCAAGTGAGCCACGGGCCGGCCCAGTCCTTCTGATTTTGTTTCCCTTATTTTATAGGCCTACTATGAAATTATAGATAATAAAGAGAAAATGCATAACAAATTGCTTAGCAGAGAGAAAGGCCCAATAAACGGAAATTATTCTTATCAGTACCTTTACTGATAAATTACAGCCATCTTTAGTTGGAAATTTCTAAAGGTACCCTGTGTTCTCAAGGGAAAATAATAGGAAAAGTTATTTTTTTTTATTTGTAATAGATAAAAACTGTACTGTTATTGGCTCTTCTTCTTCGGCTTGTCTTCTAAATATCAGTCTTCCTCTGAGTTCTCTTCTCACTCTACACCCTTCCTTTGGGCACCCAGTATTTCCCTCATCACACCTATTTTAACTACTGTTGATAAACTATGCTCCTCAGGCCGGCTATGGCTCACTTGGGAGATTGTGGTGCTGATAACACCAAGGCCAAGGGTTTGGATCCCTGTGTAGGGATGGCTGGTTTACTCACTTGGGAGAGCGTAGTGCTGACAACACCAAGTCAAGAGTTAAGATCCCCTTACCAGTCATCTTTTAAAAAAAAAACCCAAAAACTATTTAAAAGTTTGCTCCTCTAGTGTGCAAATCATGCTTGTCTTGCTTCTGTCATGGTTTGACCAAATGCAGTAAAGGATGTGACCATTAATGAACTGTGTATGTATCCGTCCTAATTACCCTAACTAGGGGGCTCTTCTTTCCAAAATTAGTGGCACTATAAGGAGAAAAACACAAGTAGATGAAGTAAATAGTAAAGAGGAGTGGAGCCACAGTAATCCTAGTTTGTTTTGAAAAAGGGAAAGAGAAGGACGTTTGGGAGAGGTTTATACAACGGACAAAGAATACACTCATAAGAAGATGGTCTGACTGGTAGTGCATATGAATGTTTTCTCTGGTAACTACTGTTACTGGTAAGAGAGACTATGGAACCTCCAGTTAATCTGGTCATGATCATTGTAAAAAGTAAACTAAGTGTTATTAGATATATGTTGCCTCACCTGTCTTGCCTGATGTAATTGCTGCTCTTACAGGGAGGAGAAGCAGAGTCAACACACCAAACACGCTACTTTTATCACATCTAAACAATCAGTTCTCGGAAATGGTGAAAATATTAGTGGTTGCCAGCAGTTAGAGGGAAGGGAGGAATGAGTAGGTGAAATATAGACGATTCTTAGGGCAGTGAGTGAAACTACTCTGTGTGATACTATGATGGACACACATCACCATACATTTGTATGAACCCATAGAATGTTTAACAAAAACAGTGATTCCCTAATGAAAACTATGGGCTTTGTGTGATAATGATGTGTCAGTGTGGGTTCATCAATTGTAACAAATGTATTACCCTGGTACAGGATGTTGATGGGGGAGGCTGTGTATGAGGGGGGGCAATGGGTACACAGGAACTCTCTGTACTTTTTGTACTCTGTTCACTCAGTTTTGTGGCGAACCTGACACTGCTCTAAAAATGTCTTTTAAATAAAGAAGATAGTTTACAAAGTTCCGAAAAAAATTATGGAAACCGAAATTTCTTTTGAAAGATGGAGAACAGGTTTGTTAACTGTAATGTCTGGAGGTAAAGCAGGATTCTCACTCATTGTATGAATAAGTTCCTCAGTTCTTTCCTCACTGATCTCTTGTGCTAGAGGATTTGAAATAATTTCATCTTCTGGTCTGTTAAAAAATAATATATGAAACTTTTTCATATATACAGGACCAAAATTTCAAATAATTATTTTAATTAATTTATTAAAATATATTTACACATTCCTATTTTGAAAAAATACTTAGGCAACTTTCAATAAAAGACACAAGTAATAAATTTAATAGAATACCCAAAGAGGATAAACTGAGATTCTAAATAAAGAGAAAGCACATACACTAATTCTAAGGTTAAAATAGTTGCTATGATGGAATAGAAAATTTTGCTCTGAGTTTCCAGAGAATCTTGGCTTTTATTACATTGGGTAAGTTATTTCTCAAAATTAGAAAGCATATCAATTCTCCAAAGGATATAAAGTTTTTCCTGGTATAAATTCTGAAAAATTTATTTCATGTCTTCCACAAAAGTTTTAGAGCAAATGTAGAAGAGGATTAATTTTTTTTTTTTTTTTTAAAGATGACCGGTAAGGGGATCTCAACCCTTGGCTTGGTGTTGTCAACACCACGCTCAGCTAGTGAGCCGACCGGCCATCCCTATATAGGATCCGAACCCGTGGCCTTGGTGTTATCAGCACCACACTCTCCCGAGTGAACCAGGGGCCGGCCCTTAGAAGAAGATTAATTTTACACAGCTATTTCTTTAATTGACTTCTGAAAAAAACTGAAAGTATAACATTCAAGTTCAGCTTAATAAAGATAATTCTTCCAGGGTTTATGCAAAATATATTCCAGTATCTCAGTTATCACTAACCTTAAAGGTTCTTTTGCTCTTATTTCATCAATTAACCCATTCTCAGCATTATTTTTTCTTTTGCAACAAACATAAGATAATTTATTGCCTAGAAACCTGTAGAGACTATTGTGTGAATCTTCAAATTCCAGCTCCTTTTCATTTTTGAATATCTTCATTCCTACTGGTTCAAAGACTTTATGATCCATTAGAACTTGGAAAAGACAAACTCCTTTAAGATGAGAGATGTCATTGCTACTTAGGCACATATTTTGCATAAGATGACTAAATGCTAAATCTACAACATCAGAACTAGTAAAACAGTCTTTGTATGTTCATAAATGATGCTTCCTTTTTATTTCCACTTGGGTCTGAAGGGAGTGAATAATACCACCCCATAGCTGAGTAGCTTGAAAAGGACCAGAGCATCCTGGAAAAAAAAAAAAAGTTTCTAACAAATTTAAATTATACACATATATGTAAGTTTTTCAGTTTTGACAACCTGATGCTTTTTGATGGCATATCTGCAGTTAATGTCTTTAAGTTTCATCTCCTGTCTTATGTACACCATACACCATAACATATTTACGAAAGCTGCACCATATATGTCTGCCAATAAAAAAGTAAACCTAGGAACTTACTTTACTGATGTGAAACATATTATTATGTGAATGTATATACCCTTAACATTACATGATTAACTACTAACTACATGTAATCTTGAGGGATATTATTTCAGGACACATTTAAAAGGAATGCAAATTCATTGAAGTCTTGATTATTACAGAGCTGTGGCTTTACCAGTCTCTTTGCTTTTTCTTTCTTCTTTTTGCCTTTTTGATCAATGGCAAGCTTTTCATCAAAGAGATCTGCTCAAGGAACTGACTAAAACTAATCAATTTGTCTATTGTTCTTGCCCAAAAAATAAAAAAAAAGTTCACTGAGAAACAATAAAAACCCGAAACAATGAAAATGTCCATTCATCTGAGGAATATATAAATTATATAAATAATAATTATATAAATTATGGTATAGCCTTACTATAGAATAGTAGGCAGCCATTAGAAAGAAATACAGCTGTTTATAGTACGGTGGGATCTGGTTAAGTAGGGGAGAAAACCCAAAACAAAAATAAAAAATCAATGAACTGAATGAGCAGAACAATTTGTATTCTGTGATCCCACTTAGGTAAAAATGAATTCTTAGTCTACCCACAAATATTTAGGTAAATAAATACAAAGAAAGCTATTAATCTTTAGGAAGTAGTATTGTAATGGTGGTTGATGAAAGAGGACGTTCACTTTTTTATTCTATTTGCTTCTGAATTTTTAAAATGTGTATGAAGTTGGCCCTCTGTATTGTGGGTTCCACATCTGTGAATTCAACCTAGAGTAGATAGAAAATATTCCAGGGATCTGGCCTGTTAGCATAGTTGGTTAGAGTATGGTGTTATAACACCAAGGTCGAAGGCTCAGATGCCTGTACAGGCCAGCTGCCAGAAAAAACAACAACACAGTAATAAAAAATAATACAAATAAAACCAATACAGTATAACAACTATTTACATAGCATTTACATTGTATTAGGTAGTATAAGCAACTTAGAGACACTTATGCCATTTTATATAAGGGATTTGAGCATCTGCAGATTTTGGTATCTATCTCTGGGAGGTCCCTGAACCAATCCCTCCATACAGGGAGAGGATTGTGTATAACTTTTTTCTTTTTATAATTAATTGGATACAGCAAAAACTTTTTATTGAGATATAATTAACATACCATAAAATTTAGCCTTTTAAAGCGTACAATTCAGTGTACCTTTAATACAGTCAAAGTTGTGTAACCTTCTCTATGATCTACTGCCAGACTATTTCACCACTTGGAAAGAAACCCCTAGTTAGCAGTCACTCCCCATTCCCCTATACCCCAGTAAAATTTTAATTTAAAAATTTTAAGAATGATAAAGGAATAAGTTAAAACGTCTAGAATGCTGTTTCCAGATATTCTTGGTATATTCCAAGAATTTAAGCTCTTTTCTCCTTTAACTATGAGTAACTAGAAACAGTATGCCCAATTTTACACAGCAGTCTGGTGTTCGTGAGAAAATGACAGAAATAAAAATCCATCATCCTCAAATTCCTTTTTAATAAAAGCTGTCTGTTTTTTCATCCAAAAAATCTTAGCCCCAGATACTATGGACAGACCGGCGACCAAGGAGGGTGAGGCCGGAGGGAGGGTGATGGGCAAGGGAAGGTACCAAAAGCTGTCTGTTTTTTCATCCAAAAAATCTTAGCCCCAGATACTGTGGACAGACCGGCGACCAAGGAGGGTGAGGCCGGAGGGAGGGTGATGGGCAAGGGAAGGTACCCCACGGCGCTGGGGGTAGCTAGAGGCTATCAGCAGTGGACACGAGGTATTTTCCGTGGACAATCTACCTCCGATATTCATTAAACAAGTAGGCCAAGTTAAAGAAATGGTCTTCTAGCTCAAGAAACTTGCTCTCTGGTACTTTAACCCCTTGTTGCTCTAAGTGCAGCGTAGGGACCAGTAGCATTGGCGTCATCTGGCAATTTACTAGAAACGCGGAATATCAGACCCTACTCCCGAATCAGACTCTGCATTTTAACAAGGTCCCCAGCTGATTCGTGTACATATTAAATTTGCGAGGCACTGCTTTCCTAGACTCTCTAAGGGCCCTTCACCAGAGTAACCCCTGAAAAGACTGAACCCAGGTCCCCAGTCCAGGACCTGGGAGGAAGGTGAACCGGGCAGGGGGCGGGGCCCCAGAACCCAGAGGAGCAGAGTCTAAACCACCCGCTCCTCTCAGCTGCCTCCTTCACTGCACATTTGGTAGGGTCTATAGGGTTACCTGTCCTCCTCTTCTGGCAGAAGCAACCATTAAGGATCGCAAAACTCGGCCCGCTCAGCGCTGAGCCGGGAAGCTCGTTCTGGCTGCTCCGGCTACGGAACTGCGGAGCCAAGAGAACCGCCTTAAGCTAGCGCGCCGACTCCTCCCCCGGCCCCGCAACCCCGCCCCCACCTGACTCCCGGGGGGGCGGAGTCAAGCCTGGGCCCCGCCCCTGTCGAATCAGCCGGAAGTGACGTCATGTCTCGGCCGGCAGGACTTTCAGTCTTCCCCCTGCCTTACTCTTGGTCCCCAGTCCCTTCCCTCCCCTCCCCCCTTCCTCCTCCCTCCTCCGGCTCCAGCTTTTGCGGCCTCGGGGGTAGCGGAGGCTATGGAGTAAACCCACGGCGGCGGCCAGGCTGTGAGGCTGAGCAGGAACAGCCAGGTGGTGTTTAGGGGGGGCGGAGGTATCGAACACCTGCCCAGCCCCTCCCGAGAGGAGAGGGAAGAGGTGAGTGACCGGTCGCCTGCTCCGAGCGACTTCTCTCACCGGCGGTGCTCTCGCCTGGGCTCCTGAGGCCAGCCTGGGGGGAACAGGGAAGGAGTCGCGCCCGGTAGGCCTCCCAGGGCCGCCCGGGCTGGCTACTGTTGCCTGGTGACGGGCCTGCCGGCTTCGGGCCGGGCGGGCCAGGCGATGGGGCCCCTCGCGAAGCGGGGGCAGGCGAGCGGCGAGCTCCGGACCGCTTATCTCGGGAGGACCGAGTCCCCCGAAGAGGCCTCGAGAGGCGACGGGAGACCCGGGACCAGAGTCGTTTGCCGTAGGGAGAGCCCCCCGCGCAGGCTCGGGAGCTCGGGTTTCCGTGGTGGAGAGCTTGGTGACCTTTTGGGAAATTAAACACTACTTCAGGACTGAGAGAGCTCCCCTCAGTTCTGAGGTCCGGCCCCGGTAACCCGTGTCACCACCCAGGACCCTAGCGCCAGGCGTCTTTCTCAGACCGTAGCTGTAGTTCTGGAATGGAAGATTATTGTGTGTGAGGTGGGTGGGGCAGGTGTTTTGTTAAGATTAAAAGTCCCTTCGGTGGCTCCTGCACTCGTGTTTTTGTAAGCGGGAGAGAAAGGATGGAGGAAGGTTTAGACCGGTAAAGCTTGCAAAAACTTGGGATCCGACCAAACACGTACCTATGATCAGTAATTAAGGCGACCAATATTATCAAATCTGCTTTTCTAACAGCCTGGATGATTCCAGACTCAAGCGACTTAAAAACGCTATACCAGTAGTGAGTTAATTGTAAGTTGCCAACTAGTTTTTGTGTATTCAACTCAGGAATTATTTGTATAATGACACTTAAAAACAAAAAACAAAAAACAATTGGATTCTGTGAGTGAGAAGTTTTCCAAGTAGCATGGGTCGGTTCTGGAAAATTAATCGTTTGACGAAAATGCTCCAAACCAGCTTATCACTGTAAATAAAACGTGATCACGATCATGATCATGTTCTGGTGATCGCTTGAAAGTCAGGTGCTTGAAGATTCCTTTTGGACTTTGCAGGCTTTTTGTTTGGTTGGTTTCCTGTCTTATTCTTTAGCATTAATATTAATTTTTTTAGAAGTGTAAAAATGACATCAGCTGAGTATAAATTACTTCTTGAGGCAACGGTAAACTATGGTCATAATGTACACTTTTGGAGGATTTTGTAAAGGAAAGAAATATATTGGAAGGCAAGGGCTTTCATTATGTTTAGATCTACTTTATACACATGCAGAAACCTATTCTTTTGTCTCTAAGATCCATAAACACCCAGTAAAATAAGTATAGGCACATCGTACTTCCATACAATGGAATATTTTTGTACAGAAACCTGTAGTTGGGAATAAGTACTCATACTCACATATTTGCAATTTATGAACACCCTCCAAGAAAAAAAATAGTTCCTTTATTGTGCTATTTCTGTGACTAGCATCATCATACACCTCTCTCTCTCTCTGAGTTGAAGTTTGACAGTTCTTTCTCTCATACCTCATAATCAATTTCTCGTGAGGTCCTGTTTATTTTGCCTCTTGAATATTTCTTGAATCTGTTTACTCTTCAATATCAACACTAAACCTCTAGTTCCATCTCTCATCTGTACGACTTTAGTAGCCTCCTGATTCCATTCTGCCTGTATCTCTACTTTGGCCTCCTCTGTTGTTTTCTACACCACTGACTTTTTCAAGACGCAGATCTATTAACATTGTCTCCATTGTTTAAAGTCCTTCAGTGGCTTCTCACTGTTTTTTAGATAAAACTGAAATCCTTAACATGCCCTACAAGCCCTCCATGGTTGGTCCTCTGATTGCCTTTCTAACCTCAGTGCTTTCTGGCATTCCCTTTCTCATCTAGTCACCCTGTCCTTTCTGTTGTCCTGCTTCAAGTACATGGCTTTTGGTCATTGTACTATTTCTTCCTGGAAATGTTCTTCCTTTCCTTTTCATCCAGTTAATGCCTATTCATCATTCAGCTCACTTCAGGGAAGACTTTCCTGATTAGGATAGATCCCGCTGATTATAGGTTCTCATGACAGCATTGCAGAGTTGCCATATTTATTAATATTTAATAAATTAATGAGATGTCCCTCATTTCCTGATACTGTGTAAGTGCTTAATAAATGTTTATTAAATGAGTGAATTCATTGAATGCTTACCATGTGTATCAGGAATTGTACTAAGCGTTTTATCTGTGCATCAGCATCTTTAATCACAACAATCACTTGAGGTATGGATGCCTTTTCTCCATTTTATAGGTTAGAAATAGTGTTAGAGGGGCTAGGTGGTGGTCACAGCTCTAGTAAGTATTAGAACTGGCATTTGAACTCAGGTTTCCTGGCCTCTGAAGATTGTATACTTATAATTCTCACGCTTAGCTGTACATCAGAATTGCCTGGGGAGCTAGATCAAGATACAAATGCACTAACAGTATCTTTTAAGATTCTGATTCCAAAGATTTGAGATAAAAGAGGCATTTATATGGTTTAACAAGTTATCCAGGTTATTTAGATGTTCACCAGATTTTGAAAACCGTTGTCTTAGACAACACTTGAGTGCTTTATGAGTTTGTTTTCACACATTGTATTACACTGTATTTCAGATTTCATACTTGCCTTAAATCAAGGAAGAACTGTAAGACCTAAGGAAGTAAGCCTTAGTGGTCATTTAGTCCAATTTCCTACCCATTTATTCCTTTTCTCCCTCTCTAGCTAGAGGAGCTGATTAGTGAGAAGCTGCTGCGCCACTACTGCTGCTGCTTTTTTTTTTTTTTTTTTTTGTCTTTTTTCCGTGTCCGGCAACGGATCGCAACCCTCAGTGTTGCCCCCGTACCGGACCGGGGACCAGCGACGGGATCGCAAGCCTCGGCGTTGCTCCCACGCCTCGCTCAGCCAGTGAGCGGGAGCCGGTCTGTACACGGGATCCGAACCCTTGGATGGGAGCGCTGCCGCGCTTCCCAAGCGGCGCACTATCCAGTGCGCCACCGGGCCGGCCCTTTTTTTTTTTTTTTTTTTTTAATTACAGTAATTTCAAGATTCTGATTAACTTCTTGTAGTAAAAACTACACTGCACTAATTACATGGACTGGAAGTGTTGTCAAAAGACTTGGATCTCAGATCTTACTTGTTGAAATTACTAATTTGATATTTAAACATATGTTGCCTTATAATCTCTCATTTTGCTTTTTAAATCTTATTGTACAATGGTCTTAAGTTTATAACCAGTGACGGAAGCTGAATGTTTTGCTTCTTGTTTCTCCCACCACACTTAGCATGATGCTCTTCACCTAGTAGGTACTGAATAATTTGTTGAAGGGATGTGTATTTCAGTGTACATTGCTAAGTCTCTTCAGTTTTTTATGTTTGTCTTTTAAATCAGGCTTGTCTTCCGTATATAATCTGTTCTTGCTTAACTCAATAATTAGATACTTTCTGTAGTTGTAAAGAGAATGATTGTACTCAGCTGGTATAATCTTTGTTGTTCTAAGATTAAACATAACTTCTGTATAAGCCAAAGAATGATATAACCCATTTTTTGAAAACTTCTTTTAAAAAAACTTCTAGTAATCTCTGAGTGCTCCCACAAGAAGAAACATGTATTTCAAGAATGTATTTTAAAATCATCTTTTTTTTAGATATAAACAGATATGCACTGCATATAGGAATGTGGGGACAAAATTTTTTTCCCAAATTTTGTTAAGCATTTTACCAGAAATATTTAATATTGTGTAAGTGTAATTCTTATTTAGAATTACAAAGTTTCATTTTATGCATACTTAACTATAAATGATTATATAAGTGGTACTCTTTTATTTTCAGGCATTTACATAGAAAAAAATCTCAGACACTGTGCCTCTTTAAGGGATAAAACAAACCATTTTGATTTCATTTGTATTTATTATTGTTCTTTGTAGACAATGTGTATTATTTTATGCTTATTGAAAGTCGTCTCTGCTACGTATAATGAGACCAAAAGTTATTAAATATAATTTTATTGTCAGGTATAATTACAGTAACCTTTTATTTGCATTGTAGTATTTTCAACAAAAATGCAAGCTAGTTCTTCTTTTTAATATTCTATTCTTGAGGAAGTAAGGGATTCTTTTGCAGCTGTGTTATTTGAAAATTCAGGAAATTCTTTTTAGCATAAATATAATTTTACCTGTTATATTCCTGCTATATCTAGAGTTCATGAGCAGGCAAAACTGAAAGAATTGCCAGTTCCTTTTAGCTACCTGCCATCAGGTGCTGTAGTACTCACCCACTTTCTACCAGGTGCACATAAAATCTGGTATTACAACAGATTCACATACTGCATTCTATTTAAAGCCAGGTGATGGCTGAGCAAGATGGTAGGGAAAATACAATCTTGGGATCATACTGAAGCTACCCCAAATCTTATTTTGACTGAGATTTAGGAGGGGAAGATGGTTGAATTTCAAGTGAATTCTACTAAATGGTATACAAGAAGAAATGGCTTACGTGAATAAACATTTCTGCCATTTATGACTTGTCTTTATGATGTATTTATTTACTAATTAATCAAATGAGAATTTGAAAAGCTATCATTTTAAGAAAAAATGTTTGGACTCTAGGTTTGTTAACATGTCAGATGGCTATTGCTAATATTTGAAATCTCATTTAAGTTCAGGTCTTATTTTACAGACTCTTTGAGATCATTCTGTCCTTGGCCTTCCATGACTCTCATGATATACTTATTCTTCTTGGGTCTCCTTGAGTAACCTTTTTCAAGGCCACAGTCTTACTATACTGGCTCATCATGTCCAGATTTTTGCCTTCAATCTAGACATTTTTCTAGTTTTTGGCCTGCGTATCTAAAAACCTACTAAATATCTCTATATGAGTGTCATTTAGGCAGCTCAAATTCCACATGATCAAAATTGAGTTCTTTCCCTCTCAAAAAAAAAAAAAAAAAAAAAAAAAAAAAAAAAAAAAAAGGAAAAAGACGGGGCCCCTACATAAAAGTACATAACATAGTTTAATATGTAATTATAAAATAAACATCTGTGTAACTAGCACCTTTGAAACACCCCTTCTACCCACCATCTCTTCCCTATCTTCCTTGTCCATATTTCCAAGTGTCCTTTATTTTATTACTATTATTACTATTATTATTGCTTTTTATACATTCTAAATTATATATATCATCCCTGAACTACATATTGACATTCTCTTCACTCTTGACATATTTCCTGCCTCCATCCCTAGTATATCTTTCACTCTGCTTGATGGAGTGATTGATGATCTTACTCATACCTGAAACCCTGCTGTGGCTTCTCAGGCTTGACTTCTTACTACTCAGTGCCCTTGGTGAACTGGCTTTTCCAGTCTCCTTTGCCATACTTTCTTCTTTCCTTCCAGCTTTTATCTGAACTGCTTTGTTTTTACTTTGTGTTTTTACTCTTACAATTCTATTTTCTGTTTTATTCCTACTCACTTTTAAAGACAATTCTAGGATTACTATTTATGGGAAACTTTCTTCCGTTCCTCTTCCTTTTGCTCCTATAATGCTCCTATAGTGCACGTATATTCTGTAGCATTTTTTCACTTTATAAGCTAATGCAATGGTTGTTTTTACTTGTCTCTTTCCACTTTGATGGTAATATCCTTCACAATGTATTTTTCCTTTACCTCTTCCCCAGTTTTTATTTTTTATTAGCATACTTATTCTTTATGCCCCTTATCCAATCCTCTCTCTCCCTCCCCTGTCTAATAACCATAGATTTGTTCTCTCCATCTGATAGATTAACTGTTCCTCTGTTGGTTTGTTGCCTAGATGATCTGCCAGTAATGAGACAGGTGTGATCAAGTCCTCTGCTATTATTTTAAATTAATCAGATGCATCTTCTATTACTCTGGAGTGTGCTTTGTGGAGAGAGAGTCTCTCTTCTTTTTATTTTTTGGTCTCCGCTGTTGCCTCTCCTTGTGTCAATGCAGTTGAGAGTCTGGTGTGCCATCTGCGTGGTGGCTGTGACTACTGCTATAGAGACTAGCCGCTTTTGTGGCAACCGTGGCAATTGTGGTGGCTGTGGTGGGCTACCCACATGAAAATGGTGTTTCTGGTGTGCTCTTTACCTGGTTGTTGCTGGGTTCAACTTCCCCCAGCTCCATACCTCAGGACCCTAACAGGGCCCCAGGGTGGTGGTGGCAGTGGCAGCTTGCCTAATTGTGGCTGGGTTCCCCAGTTTTTTATATGCTCTCAGGTACATAATGGCTACTCAATAAACATTAAATAAATCACCAAATGAATTTTCATGTCTGTTCCCTACCTTGTGTACACCAGTGTTGACTCTGTTTGGATGATGTCTAGGCATCTTAAATTTGATTATGAACTCTAAAAATATCCTTTGTTTTCATATTTATTTATTTTTATTTTTTTCCTTTTTTCGTGTCCGGCAATGGATCGCAACCCTCAGTGTCGCGCCCGTACCGGACCGGGACCGGCAACGGGATCACAACCCTCGGCGCCACGCCCGTACCTCGCTCAGCCAGTGAGCGGGAACCGGTCTGCATGTGGGATCCGAACCCTCGGTGGGAGCGCCACTGCGCTCCCAAGCGGCGCATTGTAGCAGTGCGCCACCGGGCCGGCCCCTTTGTTTTCATATTTAACCTTTCATAGTTCTTCCCTAATCTTCTGCCCCTCCATATCTTGGCACATGGTAATCCCTCTTTCTGGAATACCCGTTCCTTTTTTTTCCTTCCTCTCATCTTAATGTTCCCATAGCTCTATACAGTCATGTTAATTGCTGTAACTCTTTGAAGTTCTGAATCTGCTACTATTCGGATTCCCTAAAGAGCAGAAATGTTTTTATTTAAATTTGTATTCCCAGTGTATAACAAGGTACATGGTATGTAAAATGTAGCTATTCAGGCAGTTAGAGAGATGGATATGTCAGTTTTAAATAGGATTTTTATTTCTTCTCCTCCCCATCAAAATCAGCAGCAGATGTGCCTGGAGAATAACTTGGCATAGCAAATAAATGTTTTCCTAATGCCAGTAGCAACATTTTCTAACTGTTTACAAAAATGCAGTATTAAATTAAAAGGGGAAAGTGAGTCTCTATTTTCATTTATAGACATTTCAAATCTTTAATAGAAGAAAGTAGGTTATTTTTTACATAAATATAATTTAATTAACAGAGAAAACAGGACACAAACTAGTGCTACTTTAGTCCAGTGGTCTTCAAATATTTTTGCTTGTGTATCCAATAAAAAATTATGGAAAACAGTGTATCCCTTTGCATGTTTTTAAGTTGATGAGATCTGGTTTTTTGTCGAGTTTAAATAGTTGCAAAGGATATAATGTGTATTTTTATTTATTTATTTATTTGACCTTGGTGTTAGCACTGCACTGTCCCAGGTGAGCTAACTGGCCAACCCAGGATCTAATTTCTAGATTGTTGTATATTGTGATTGTGCTTCATCAAAACATTGGAGTTTATCAGTTGAAATATACATGTTCCTATACATCTCTGTGACAACCGTCTTCTTAATTGTAATTTTGTGATAGATTAGGCGTGGGGTCTTGCTGTTAACATCTTGCCTGGAAGAAATAAAGCATAACCTTGAGTATTTTTTACCAAACTTCTTTTTGCTTTGCTCTTACGGGACTTTCTCTCACTCAAATTGCATCCCCTTACCCTTTCCAAGTTGTTTTTTTTTTTTTTACTACCCAGGGAAAATACTCTATAATAAGACTGGTATGGCTAAGGGAAATGCTTTTTTTAGTCCAAAGTGAGTGGGAAAAAATTGTGAAGAAAGAAGCAGTTAAGGAAAATCTTCAGGATATAGATTTGTTCTCAGGCAAATCAATTTTAGGAAAGAGTACACGTGAAGTTGAGCTGAGGCAAATCGATTTTAGAAAAGAGTACACATGAAGTTGAAGACTTGGAGAGTGATAGGATTTTTAAACGTTTTTTTTTGTGCCTTGGACCTTTTGACAATCTAGTGAAGCCTATGGATCACTTCTTGGAGTAATGTTTTAGAATCAGTTTGTCCATTTCTACAAAAAGCCTCCAGGGGATTCTGGTTTGATTGCATTAAGCCTATAGAGTGATGGGGAAAATTGACATCTTAACAATATCAGGTCTTCTAGTTCATGATCACAGTATATCTTTCCATTTATTTAGGTTTTCTTTAGTTTCTCCCAACAATTTTTTGTTGTTTTCATTGTATAGATCTTGTATATGTTAAATTTATCTGTAGGTATTTCATGTTCTCTGAATGGTATTTTTAAAATTTCAATATTCACTTGCCTGTTTCTAGTATATAGAAATACAATTTAAAGAAATGTATTGTTCTTGTATTCTCCCTTCTTGTTAAAACTCATGCATTAGTTCCAGTAGCTTTTCTGTACATTTGTTCTGATCTTCTATATATGTGATGATGTCATTTGGGAATAAAGAGTTTTACTTCCCCCTTTCCGATTTGAATGCCTCTTATTTTGTTCTCTTGGTTTATTGTTTTGGCTAGAACCTCCATTGGAATATGGAATTAAAGTGGTAAAAGTGGATGTCCTTACCTTGTTTCCAAACTTAGGGAGAAAAAGATCAGTATTTTATCTTTAAATGTTATATTTGCTGTAGTTATTCAAAGATGTCATTTATTGAGTTGACGAAATTTCTTTTTGTTTGTAGTTTGCTGAGAGTTTTTATTGTGAATGGGTATTGAATTTTATCAAAATTTTTTCTTTGCCTCTATTGACATTATCATAGGGTTTTTTTTTTTAAATTTTTATTTTGTCGATATACAATGTGGTTGATTATTATGACCCAGCACCGAAACCTCCCTCCCTCCTCCCTCTCTCCCCTCCCACCCAACAATGTCCTTTCCGTTTGCTTGTTGTAACAACTTCAAAGGATTGTAGTTGTTATATCTTCTTCACCCCCGCCCCGCTTATTTTTTGTGTGTGAGTGAATTTATTTATTTATTTTTAGCTCCCACCAATAAGTGAGAACATGTGGTATTNCCCCCCAAAAAAAAAAAAAAAAAAAAAAACAACAAAAATGGTTGTGTCCTACAACCTGTCCTGCCTTGATAAATGGCTTCACTCTCCACTTAGACTCTGAAAGTGGAGATGGGTATGGGGGGTGGGATTCCTAGTTTTGTCCTTTTCCATATCTAATTGGTCACTAAGCTCTTAGTTCTAACTTGTATTTGTGTCTTAATTTTGTCTTTCTTTACCTTTCTCACTGCTATTTCCTCAATTCAATGACCTCTCTGCTTTTATTTATTTATTTTTCACAACTGGCCCATAAGGGGATCCAAACCCTTGCCCTTGGATTTATCGGCACCACACTCTAACCAAGTAAGCTAGCCAGCCAGCCCTATCCCTTTTAAAATTTGTTTAAAATGTGGAATATAACACATAAAAGTACATAACATAGTTTAATATGTAATTATAAAATAAACATCTGTGTAACTAGCACCTTTGAAACACCCCTTCTACCCACCATCTCTTCCCTATCTTCCTTGTCCATATTTCCAAGTGTCCTTTATTTTATTACTATTATTACTATTATTATTGCTTTTTATACATTCTAAATTATATATATCATCCCTGAACTACATATTGACATTCTCTTCACTCTTGACATATTTCCTGCCTCCATCCCTAGTATATCTTTCACTCTGCTTGATGGAGTGATTGATGATCTTACTCATACCTGAAACCCTGCTGTGGCTTCTCAGGCTTGACTTCTTACTACTCAGTGCCCTTGGTGAACTGGCTTTTCCAGTCTCCTTTGCCATACTTTCTTCTTTCCTTCCAGCTTTTATCTGAACTGCTTTGTTTTTACTTTGTGTTTTTACTCTTACAATTCTATTTTCTGTTTTATTCCTACTCACTTTTAAAGACAATTCTAGGATTACTATTTATGGGAAACTTTCTTCCGTTCCTCTTCCTTTTGCTCCTATAATGCTCCTATAGTGCACGTATATTCTGTAGCATTTTTTCACTTTATAAGCTAATGCAATGGTTGTTTTTACTTGTCTCTTTCCGCTTTGATGGTAATATCCTTCACAATGTATTTTTCCTTTACCTCTTCCCCAGTTTTTATTTTTTATTAGCATACTTATTCTTTATGCCCCTTATCCAATCCTCTCTCTCCCTCCCCTGTCTAATAACCATAGATTTGTTCTCTCCATCTGATAGATTAACTGTTCCTCTGTTGGTTTG